AGCTAACAAGCCAACTAGGGGCTGGTTATTATGTTGATTTTAAATAAACCCGTGAAGTGGTGAATAAATGACTGTAAATATATGAAATCATATATGTGAACTGCGATTAAAGAAACGGATATGGAACAAGCCTTGTTTTCACTATCACTTAAGTAGTGATCATAACTGCGAGGATCGCCTCAATATTCGTTTCTTCGACTGCAGTTCACATGTATGATTTTCATATATTTCCAGTCAAGTATTTTCCTTGTTACTATTAATAATAAAACTAAATTATCGCATTAAACTTGTTACACCCATGCGGAAGGTGTTGTTCAGCCATCTGCGCCGAAGATGAGGCTTACAAGTTCTTTCTTAATCAGAATCATGATGTTTTTTAACCAACTAGGGCATAGGTCCACACATTTTTCTAATTCATTTAACCTGCTAAAGAGACCACAAATGTCACTTTCTTTCCACCTCTTAAATGAACATCAAACTTTCTTTAAATTAACCTTTGGACACATTCTTGGCATAACATCCAAACTGCAAAAGATACTTTGATGATGAATGTGCACACCAAGAAATCGAGTATTTCTTCCCCACATCTGGTAAAGGTAAGGACTAAAAACTTTTTCTATCCCATCGGGATGAATGCGGGCAGTGGAAGGAAAATTGTTGCGGTACCAGGAACACGTTTAGGAAAAATTCGATCATTTCGCTATTGTTTTGTTTTTTCCGCCTGAAAAGGGCATCCTTTCACTAAATGGTAAAATCATCTACGTTTTTTAAGAATCAAGACCCTACACACATAATTTGTTTAGCGACTCAGACTTGTTTGAGTCAAATGGGGAACACCATGAGTCTTCTAATGGCCATAGAAGAACGTTGTAAGCAGTAGGGGTAGCAGAGCAGTTGCTTGAGCTGGGTTCGTAAGAAAACATGCTGTAAGAGGCAAGAACTTTTTGAATGGTTTTCCGAACATTTTAAAATTTTATTACACCTACGTACATACTTAGCACTGACGACTTATTAATTCATATTTTAAAGGGACGATGAAGTAGCTCTGAAAAATTTCCAGTATCGTAAAACGTAACAGAAGCAAAGGGGTGAGGTCTATCTTGCCAATGAGAACTCCTGATCAGGGATTACAGAGGAAATTGCATCTAGGACCTGTTTACGCAAGCTCAAGTTGAACTTCTAGTAAAAGCAATGGTGAAATCTACCATTTACATGAAATGTGTTTGCATTTGGAGAAAAAAGAAAAGATACGTATAAACTTTGCTTTGACAATTTGTTAGCTGGTTGGCTGGCTTAAACTTGTGGAATGGGAACATGCAAAAATTTGTTAAAAATAAAGCTAAAAGCAGTCCATTCAACTTCTCAGGAGGTTTTGTGTGATTTGGTGGAAGAAATATGTTTAGTTTCCCTGGAGGTTACTATTAAAGCCAGTACTAGATTAAACGTTACTTCCCATCAAAATTCAAATGATCTGCCTCTTAAAGCTTTCTTGACCAGGTTGCTGGTATAAACACTGAAACTGTTACCAACACAACCTATAACTGTCATAAAATGATTCATTATTTTACAGCCAAAGCCACAATCATATCTTGTCCAGGAAATGGGTTTAGTATGGCCCTATGGCACACTCAACACACCATAATAGTTTAGTAAATTTACATAGTTCACTGATGTATTGAGTCAATTTTGATTTTTCTTCTTCCCTCTGCAGCCAGTACCTCAAGTTAGAATGATGTTGGGAGCAAATACATCTCAAAGGCCCTTAGTAAACTACAGCATTAAGTGGATCAGCACGAATACTACTCAAATCTAAGTTAGCATCTGCTTCCTCATCTATTTCTCCTATGACAGCACTGAAAATAAACAAATGTCAAGACTATTTAGTCCACTGACATCATTCACACCAAAAAAGCATGGAGAAAGCGATTTTGATGTTGCAGAAAGTCATACCTCTAATGTCACTACAAGAAATAAAAATAGCTTGAGGGGCTGAGGAACATGCAAACTAGTGTTGATAAGTAAAACTCTGATGATTCAGGTTATTAAAATTCAGTTACTGTTTACAACAGACCTTTCCACCGTACTAGATTAAAACTCGACAGGTGAGCATGGGATAAAGTCTCAAGAAACCTTGATTTTAAAAGTAACCTGCAATGTGTAAACCAGCTTACATATTATCTCCTCTGATGATGTAAAGACCCAACATGACCTGTTCCACTCCACTTCCTGAAGAGAACACTCTCTCATGGCTCTCATCCAAAATTAAATTCACTGTTTGATCAAACCCTTTAAGGGTTCCCTAAAATAAGTCAAGAAACAAATTTTGTGAAGAAGGTTCCTTGCTCTCAAAAAAAATTGCTTCCTGCATGAAAAATAGGCAAAAGAGTAATTTAGGGTATAAATTAGTAATTAACTAAAAGAAAACAAGAGATGAGAGGGGGAGAGGTATTGACATCTCACATGCCTTGGAGTTCGCCTTTCTGCACCCCCTGATAGGCTTATTAAAAAGTTATGACTGGTTTTAGATTTGCAATAAACTACATAATGAAATTCACGGCACAAAAATCTACAAAATCTTACCACAATCATTCTTCCATCCTGTGTGATTACTGCTACAGTATCTATATTCTAGTGTTAAGAATGTGTACCTCGACACAGATGTAGACTCGCACATAAGAATGTACATGGTGCTTTTCTGCAGATGAACAACCTGGTAGTGACATATGTTCCCAGTCCTAGTAAGGACTAACTAGAGAACGTTTAACGTTTTGTCACGATTATAGAGTCTCAAAAAACCGAAAATGATAAACCACAGCTTACTATTTCTTCTGACGCATTAAGATTTTTCGTGGTTGAAGATTTATTAACGCTGCAAAGATTCTGAAAGTTACCGAGAGCATATTGTTTGATGTTGTGGAACACGCGCACTTTAACATAGACAATTGAAAGCACACCAGACCAATCTGATTGAAACGTGTGCTACCTGAAAGAGATATGTGCATTATCAACCAGCGAGAAATAGTTGCATTTGATAATTTCGATTCCTAATGCAAGTGATTCAAGTATAAAAGGATACGATTTACATACGTTTCCAGAGTAGTCGCCATGATGGAATGAAAATGAATCCTTGGTAACCACTCCATTTAAGTTGGACACGAAATACTGGAGCAGTTCCAGTTATCCAAGACTTTCAGTTGGACCGGAACTAGGACTAACTTTTGAGAAAAGTTTACTTTAAATTTTCCCCTTCAGTTGGCGATGGATGGCAGAAAGTGTTTCAAGTGTGGCAAAACGGGTCACTTAAAGAGAGATTGTCCAGAAAAGGCAAACCATAATTTACAGAATGTAAAATGTTTTGCTTGTGGAAGGCATGGTCATTTTCAGAAGGATTGTACCAACTTGGCAGACGGGAACACAGCTGACACAGCGTCTACCAGGCACTCAAAAAATTCTACAAGAAGCCGGAAAATGGAGGTGCAATTTCCAGTCAGCAAGTCAATGTTCATTGATACTCATTGTCATTTAGAGTATGTTTATGAAAGACTCAGACACACTGGAAGTTTGAAAGAGTTCCAGGCAAGGTATCCGTTCCCACCAAATTTTGAGGGTTGCATTACAACATTTTGTGATCCTGCAGCTTTTTCGTCGTTTGGCACTTGGTATGATGTACTTTCGGAAGAGAGTGTTTGGGGAACATTTGGCTGTCACCCTCACAATGCCAAATATTACAACGATGAGTTGGAAGCTAAAATAATTCAGTGTTTGGATCATCCCAAAGCCATTGCCCTAGGTGAGGTCGGGCTTGATTACTCTTCACATTGTACATCTCCCCCTGAAGTTCAAAAAGAAGTGTTTACTAGACAAGCCAACTGGGCTGTAACACTAGAAAAACCATTGGTTGTTCATTGTCGTGATGCGGAAACAGACACGCTTGAAATTCTTAAGTCCTGTCTACCACAAGACTGGAGAATCCACTTGCACTGTTATACTGGATCAAGTGCATTTGCAACCAGTTTTTTTCGAGAATTTCCAAACCTTTTCATAGGAATGACAGCAGTGGTTACTTTTGCTAAAGCTACAAATATTCATGAACTTGCATTTGATGTGCCTTTAGAAAAGCTTCTACTGGAAACTGATGCACCATATTTTGTTCCATCGCAAGTGGCTGATAGGCATATCAAGTTCAGCAACCCTGGAATGGCAATATTTACTGCTCAGAGAATTGCAGAAATAAAGGGTGTTGCATTAGAAGAGGTCCTTGAAACAGTTAGAAAAAACACTGCACGTGTTTATGGTATTTAATCTCAGAATAGGAATGGTTTTTTTATTTAGATAGGTATCCATTTATGTTTTCACCATAACACCAACTCTTGGAGTGGGAGAGGGGCTGATGATAAGTTGAGGAGGTTAAACTGTTCCTTAACTCAAACTCTTTATATAGCATTTTTATTAGCTCTTCTTTTTTGAAGATTGGAAAAAGGATGTGCTTTGTACAAAATCAAACTCACACAAATTTTTTATGATTGCATTTTATTACATGCAAATTATATAGCTTACATGACCCATGTTGTACATGAACTTCGTAATGAGCCTTGCTCACCATAGAGTCTTTGTGGCTGTGTGGTGGAGCATCATAGTGCAGCAGAATTCATAGGTCTGAGGTTTGATTCCCCATGGAGACTCAGAATTTTTTCTTTGTCCTTGCTTGTGAAAAGACAAAAAACATCTTTCTCCAGCTTGCATAATATTATTAAAATCTATGTGATAAATGTTATTTTGGTAAGAAATGTTTGACTGTGATCTTTGAAGGTAAAGAACCAAAATTTACCAGAAAGGTTTTGATTTTCTTTAGGAAGATTTCTCCCTCTGAGATACCAGGCCATGTTTTAAAACAGGAAGAAATGACAATGCCAGTAGAAAGCACAATCCAAAGAAATACTGGTAACCAATAATATCTACTAGTATCCCAGATAAGGAAATCATCAGCAATTTACCCAACACTTCTGATGTGGCAAGAACAGCACAGTGTGTTGCTTTAGCACCAGGTAAAGAATTTTGTGAACTTAACATCATGAGTGTGAATGTTGCAGTTGTGATTATTCCCCCACTTAGTTGTATGAAACATTCAATGATTGCAATTGCAGATTTTGTGAATTGTGTTAAGGACAGCAACCAAAGTGAGAGAAGTGGTACTAGTCTTGCATACGAAGTCCATAGGAGTACTTTAATCACCCATGACCTTAAATTCAAAATTAAAAACAGAGCTTTTTCAATATTGAGTGCAGTTAGTGCTGTGTCAAAAACAAAATCATGTAACAACTATTTATTAAGTAGTGTCCACATGCAAACAACAGTCAAAAAATACAATTGTTAAAAAAGGGCACAGGTTTTAAACAGGCAAAATTTACCCAAAAAGTTTCTGAAGTCTTGTAGCATGCCATAGAGGAACAATGGAGGGAAATGTACACTTCCCTTACCTATCAATAATTCTAAGTATATTACGGTTGTGCTATTTACTCTTTGTTTACTGTTACTCAGTGGTACCACACATGTTTTGATTTATGTTTGTGTTATTTTGTCACCCTTCTGTGGTCAATATCTTACACATTTAATGCCCTTTTTCCTGTTGTCACTGTAATTTTATTCAAATTAGAAAGTACATTACAGATGTTAGTGATATGTTGACCATTCACATTACCTGTGTCCATACTGCAGACTAACAATCCAGCCTCCTATGGTTGAACCACTGATTGAGAACAGTTGACCAAATATTCCAAATATTACCCCCACTTGTTCTTGGGGAATTCTTTGATCAATCAGATACAAAGGCAGCATGCTAACAACACCTTGTTCGCCTAATTTGTATGTTGCAACATAGAACATCAGCCATGAGAAGTCAACAGTCCTAATAGTAGTTCTAATGATCTTTAAAGGACTAAGCTTGCCACTTGTATTATCATTGGAGACTGACATAGATGAACGTAACTGATTTCCTTTAATTTCCTGGTTTTTCAATGATACTCCCTTTGCTATTTCATATGTTGAACGTGTTTCACTGTTAATGTTTATTACTGAGATGATTAACATGACAATGTAAAAAGAGCCCCAGAGGGTGAACAACCATTTCCAGCTGTAGTATACACTGAGCCAAGAAAGAATACCTCCTCCAAATAATGCACCCAGTTTGTAACCAACCACTTGTAGTGTGCTCGCCTTTCCTGAAAATGGAATAAAATGTTACCCTTTGGACTAGCAGTATTCCATTGATTGAGGTGTCTTGTCAAGTCACAGGTCATTTGTGATCACTCAATCAACAATTTGACCAAATCAAAGGATTTTCCTCTAATGTTACATCCCTAGTTTGTGAAAGAGAATTTCCTAGGCTGTTATGCATGCAGAGTACAGGCCACCTTCCACAAATAAAACCTACACAAGACACTATGAATGTTGAGAGATTATCTTGGACAGCGCTAAAAAAGATGTATTTTTAAGCTATGGTCTTGGGCAGAAAACAATAACCCTCTTTCCTTGATCTTATGGGTGAGGATTTCATTATTTTTCATAATTTGTTTGAATTGTTTGCATTATTTAAACTATTCATGCTGAAGTTGTAAATGTATTCTTACCAAGATCTTCAGGTTCTAGCAGGCAAATTGCATAGGCATCCACTGCAACATCCTGTACAGCAGATGTTATGTTCATCCACAACACCCAGAACAGAACCAAAAGAGTATTGTGTTCTCCCACCCAGGCTGATGCAAAGCAAATTACGGCCATAATTAACGAGCCCAAAGTAATCCAAGAGTTAAAAGACCATAACTTATCAATCAAAGGTGCTATTGTGAATTTGAAAATCCATGGTAAACTTAATAGGCGGCTAAGGCCTACCTTTGACAATGAAAACTTATGTTTCCTCAGAAATAATGGAAGAAGTTTGACTTGAAAGCCATAAGGCAATCCTTGACCGAAATATAAAAGAAACAACAGAACATCAGAGCTCGCCATCTTGAAAAACAACAAATTCTTTAGTAGCCACGCCATCTTAATAGATGGAGCGGCTCCATAGCTGCATTTCGAATGTTTTCATGTCAAAAACATAGTTGCAAATCTATCCTCCTTTCTGCTGCTAAGACTGCTTGTCGGACACTATTAGTGAAAACCGGGTTTTATTATGTATTCTTTGTCAAGATTCGCTCTCCGCAAAAATCTTCTCCCATGTATTGAAGTATTAAAACCCTTCAATTCACTTTTGAGATTTCAGAAAACCGAGGCAGTCTCTGATCGCAGCGGTGATCAGGAATCCGCAACTCAAGGTAAACCCTTCCAAGACATCCCTGGTCGCCCCAAAAACTTCAAATCTTTCGTAGAATTTTACTGGAAATCTGAGCGATTTACCAAAGGATACAAAATGCTGGACGAATTGTTTCGGACATATGGCCCTATTTTTAAGGAGTTCGTTTTCTTGGGGACGTACTCCGTGCATCTCATTGATCCTGTTGATCAAGAAAAAGCTCTACGTGCCGAAGGAAAATATCCCACCAGAGTAATGATTGACTTTTGGCTGGAGCATCGACAACGCAGGAATTATTTCCCTGGCATTTTGCTCTTGTAAGTCACGATTCTCCATGTGCCCAAATACACTTCGCGTGACATGACAGTATCGCCATTTAATTATGCGAAGCAGAAGGAGGTGAACACGCGAGTTCTTTTCACCAATGCTGTTTCTAGATATATAATTTTAATTCACACAATCAGATACGTTTTTAGATCGATAGACACGTTTCGTTTTCCACCGACCTGCTAGTTTTGCATAAGCTCGGCGCTCTTTATTTATTTAGGACCTGTTTACATGGATGTGGGGAAACCTAGGTAGTTGAGGTAACCCGAGGTTATCCCATGCAGTCTTACAACCCCGGGATGCAGGAGCGAGGTTTCCCGAGGTTGTTATCGCACTTGTAGTTAAGGAGTTTAAGATGTCACTACGGCGACGTGTGGTAAACGTTGCCGTAAAAAACGTAATTTATTTTCTTCTAAGATTTTCGCCATCAGCTCGATGCATTAACCGTTTCTGACGGTACAACGTCTTCACTTCGGCTCAACATGTGAATGTGGTGCTGAGTTCAAAGTAACATCGTGACTAAATCGCTGTCGAGGTTTCATTGCTAAGAGGACGTAAAAATTGGTGTTTTAACGTTTAAGCTCTGCATGAGACTGCTAGGAAATGAACAAAGTTTTAACACACTCGTGTTTGGTTTTTTTTTTTTGGCTCATTTTTTTGGATCTTTTTGTAACATGGACGCCACCCTGGCTGGCGGGTAACCCCACCTTGAGAAGTTTACATGGCAAACTGTCACTCTGGCAGACAGGGTTACCCTGCCCAGCAGCCTGGGCAACCTGCCTAGGCAGGTCACCCCACCTATCATGTAAACGTGTTCAAGATAAAATAAGAGATTTTATGGATGGGCAGGTTACCACACTTGGTGGGTTACCTCACCAACCTGGGGTCCCCTACCTCCATGTAAACAGGCCCTTAGACAGACTTAAAATTAAATCTGTGACTTAAAGGCTTGTTGCAAGCTTCCAGACACGGAATTCATAAACACTCTGTGTCCAGCAGTTGAAAGTTTTCCTCAATTTTTAATTTTATTGTGAAATTACATTAGAATTATAATATGCTAGTCAGAGCTATCTTTGTTTACATTGGTAATAATTTCATGATTATGCTTGTTGTCTTCACAAATGTTAATCGAGGTACAATTGATTGTAGCAAGCTTCTGGACACGAAGTCAAAATACTCCATGTCTGGCAGTCAAATATTTTTTTAAATTTTATGTTTTTCTTGTTGATAGACTCAAAACAGTAGGTTGCCTGCTGTAAACAGAATAAATGAGATGGTAAGGTTCGAACTTGGTAAAGAAATAGAGAAAGATGTTTTCATCTTGTCACAGGTGTGGGACAAAGAAAAAATTCAGGGCCCTCAAGGTCTGAGGTTCAATTTCTCCTGGGGACTCTGAATTTTTTCTTTGTCCCACACTCATGACAAGATGAAAACATTTTTCTCTAATGTTATTATTGTTTAAAAAACAAAAGAATTAGTAAATAATTTTTACTGCCAGACAGGGAGTAATTTCAAAAACCAATCCAGGCTGCTGGACATCTAGACACAGCTTTTTACTAATTGATCAAACTATAACAAAATCTGAGAAACAAACTAGTTATTGGTTATACGTTTTCTTAAATTCTGCTGTAGTTGTATTCATTAACCCAAGCACTCAATGAAGAGGACAAACAAACACTGACAGAGTAATAGCAAGCATATTCTAAAAATTTGTTTTTCTCAATTAATGAACAACATATTTTTGTGAATCTGACAGACAAGGAGAAGAGTGGTACAGAGTACGACACAGTGTAGCTCCAAAAATAATGCGTCCAAAGATTATGGAGGAAAATATTGATAACTTTACTGCTGTAACAAAAGATGCAATTGCAAGGCTTGCCAAACTAAAGGAGGAATGTGGACCTGACAGACACATTCCAGACTTGGAGGAGGAACTTAGTAAATGGGCTACAGAGAGTAAGTCAATCAAAACTGGTTGTACTTTCAATTAATGTGAGTTATCTGTGACCTATAGATGTAGTTTAAGTGAAGTTTCATGGACAGTATGAGAATCTATTATATAAACATCAATGAAATACCAAGTAAACTTTCATATGAAAACATATCTTCACACTTGAAGATAGCATGTTAACTGTGTATCTTCACAGGTAGAAAGACCACTGTTGCTACGGTTATATATAAAAAAAGTTAAAGTGAAATTGTTTTGTTTTCATCTGTGTTTTTCTTAACAGATAGAATGTTGTGTGGCTGCATAGAGATAAGAAATTTCTCTTTGAGAGTTGAAAAATATTTCTTGAGTGAGGGAAACAAACAAGTGAAATATTTTTCAATACAAGATGTTATATCTTGTTATGTTATAATATGTTATTATTATAATATGTTATTTAATATGTTATGTTATAATAATAACAAGATGTTATATCTATATCCACTTAATATCCTATATATAATTCAGTATTAAAAAATGTGGGTCACCAAGTTTGAATTTGACTTCGAAGTTGAGTTGAGAGCCACATTAAGGTAGAGTAATAGCTGTGTCTCAAAGGCTGTATTTTTTGCCAAAATTAGTCACCTAATATGTCAAAAAAGTGGAAAGTTAGGATTTTTTTTTTGATATGACAAATGAGAATGTGTGGAAGCTATGATCCATTTAATAATTGGTATTTGAAAGTAAGGAAACCATTTTGAGCCTGCTTTTTATCAAATATGCATATACCCAAATGTGGATCAATGTCTGCCACATTTGATTGTCAAAGTTATCAATTAGGTGGCATGTACCCCTCTCATCACCAAAGCAAACCAAAAAACTTTGCCTAAAGAGGTTTTTGAAGGGTTGTCTCAAGCCATCCTATACTTAATGGACTTTTAAATTTGGGGAAAGCTGATCAGGAGGCGGGAGTGTGCATAAATATGTTGTGCTACCATTCCATTCTGCAAGGCAGAATGGAATGGTAGGCTGACTTGCAGTTTAACCAGAGTGATAAAAGCTTTTTGTGGTAATTAGAAATGAGGCCCTTTATCTCAATAATGAGAGAATGAAACAACAATGATGATGAAAATTGGGCCTCGGGTTAGGAAACTGGATAACAGGCTGTGAGGTGGATGTTACAGGCTTTTGATAGAATGGACTTCCTTTAAGCAAAGTGTTGTTTGATAATTGTTGTTTTTTATATTGTATTTATTCATTTTATCTTCATGTTTTGATTGAATTAGGAAGTAAACATTCTTTTTTTTACTTTTTCAAGGTGTGGGAACACTTGCATTTGATTCCCGCCTAGGGCTCTATGAAGATCCTCCTAAAGAAGAAGCGATGCGATTCATCATAGAGGTTCATAACTTGTTCTCAATCAGTCATAAGTTGTTTTTTAGTGTATCAAGGCGACTTGGTAAGAACTTCAGCATTGATACACCATTACTAAAGAAATTCTTCAAGACTGCTGATACCCTTATAGAAATTGGGGAAGGTTTTGTAGATAAGAAGATGAATGAATTGAAAGAAATGTCAGATAAAGGAATTGATAACACTCAAGGCAAGTATTCAGTTAAATATGTCCTTTTAGTAAATTTATGCAATTATATGATTATTACATAGTTGTATACGAGTCTATGAGTCTGTAAGGTAAATTGTAAATTCTCAACATGTTGTCTTAACCACAGTTGCAACAATTTTTGTACATTGACCAATGATGGTATGGATTTTGTTCATAAGTTCTCTTTGAAAATAATGATATAAAAAAATGTAATCACAGCTTAATTCCCAATTTGTCTTCAATTATTTTCAGTGATCACCATCTTATGTATGTTCTTTTCAAACAGCTGTTCCACTGTTAACCTACCTGCTCACAAAAAAGGAACTGACTCCTCAAGAGGTTGTAGGTGTTCTTCTTGATGTGGTTGGTGCAGGAGTTGATACAGTAAGTGATATAATCAATGACATGTTTCTGTCAATTACTGCACGAGTAGAAAATTGAGCAGAGTTTTCCTGTAGGTAAATATAGAGTCAGTAATATTTCCAGGGTGGCTAATTAGCAACATTAACCCATCTATTGAGA